TAATGTTATAGTATGTTGTAAATATAACGTTTTATTTAAAAAAAAAAAAAAAAGCTTGCAAGCAACCATCTAGATGCAATGATGGGTCTCTCCTTGTCCAGAGCAAAGAAGAATGAAAAAAACCAAAGATTCATGGAAATAATTAGCTCAAGGTACTGGTACACCATGTGATCCTCAGCTTATATAACGATGAGACCAGAAGAACTAGACAGTGCCTGGCTACCACTGTCAACCACTTGGAGGGGGATCTCTGTAGAAGATCCTAGAAAGAGTGGGAGAACAATGTGGAACAAAACTCAAAATCATTTAAAGAAAAAAAAAGGGGGACCAGGTTTGCTGGTCTGATAGAACCTGGTGGAACCACTGATACTATGGCCCCTAGCTGCCCTTCAGGTCTGGAATTGAACCTACTCCTATGGTTTTCAGCCAAACAAAAAACAGGCATATGAGGTGAACATTTACACTAGGTAGATACAATCCTTGGAGAGAACAATTATGGGAGAATAGAAGGGCTGTTTATACACAGGGAGACAGCTCAGGGGGCAGGATTGCATGGCAGGGAAGGACACAGGGAAGAGGTAACTGTGGGGAGGAGGTGCATTGTGTGAGATTGTTGCATTGTGTGAGATTGCAGTCAATGTCATAAGACAAAGTATATGTGAACTGCTATATGGAAAATGAATTTGCTCTGTAAACTTTCACCCAAATCATAATAAAACTTAAAAAAAAAAAAAAAAGAAAGAAAAGTAATGCCTAAAACAAAATATTCTGACAGTGGCAGGCATTCCTTAGATTAAGAAAAGTCAGTGAAGAACAGGTGTTGGCACAGATTCACAACCCCATTACATAATGCTGAGCCACTCTCTTGGGTTTCAAAAATTGAAGCTATGAGCACAACCAAGTAAGCAAGTGTAATTTGCAAACCTCAGTGAACTACAAGGTAAAGGAAGCAAAAGAGAAGAAACAGGCAAATGACACCAACAGAGACATATTTGCTGCTTCTACAGCCATTCTCAGCTTCTCAGAAACCATGGATCTCTAACTAGAAGGCACACACACATACATATATCTCATACACACACATATATATATATCCTTGAATTAGCCTAGAATAAGCTTTTTAATCACTTCAGATAGGAGGTAAGAAATACTTGGTCACCTTTTTGATTGTTGAAGCCAGGTCCTGATGCAGGTGGCAATCTTAATTGGTCAGGATCTTCCATAGCATATTCAGTTTACTAGTTACATTCCTTTTTATTAAGTAGCAAAAACCCAACCTGAGCTGGTATACACAGAAAGGGAGCCCTTTATAGTGATGCAGGGCTGTTCCATGGAACCCAAAAATAGGAATTAAGCCAGACCCCCAGCAGGTGTGTGAATCAGAGTACCAACAGGAAAATAGATGTCACACTTAGTAGAGTTTCTCTGAAAAGACTTTAATAAAGAAACATTTACAGAAACATGGACAGGTTAAGAGAACCAAAAAGATAACAATGAGGCACCAAAAACAAGTAAAAGCAGAAAATCTAGACCATCCCTCAGCCAAAAGGGTCAAGTAGAGAGAACAGGGTCATCGCAGTCCAATAAGATCCACAGCTGTGGAAGAGAACCCACCTGACAGAAGCTGTGGCTGTTAAGAAATGCAGCCACTGCCAAAAATGCACTAAGGTGGGAGGGAGCAGGAGAAATAAATAACCTGACTTCTTTCTCCTTCTGTCTCTAGTCTCCTAGTGTACACACCATCTAAACCCAACCAGGAACCAGAGGACAAGGGAGCCCAAATCATGCAGTCCATAGAGATTGGCATCCCAAGGTACAAGGTGAAACAGAAACCAGAGGAGAATGGATCCAGGGGGCAAAAGAGGGAATAAACATCCCAAATGGAAACAAGAACCATGCTAGAACAGGCCCACAAAGTACTAATTCAGCACATGACCCCTTTCCCAGAAATACAATGTCTATAATATATAGGAAACTAGTGAGTAAAAAAGGCTGGTTCCTAAAGGATAAGAAAGAAAAACTATTAAAGAAAAACTTTCATAGAAGACCATCCTTTTTCTAAAGGCCTAGTAATAACTTGTGAGTTGCTTTGTTATCAACTATTTCATTCTAAAACTCAAAGGAGATATAACCTCATTATTCTTAGACTTCTAATCCAACACTAAGAGAAATAATATTGAAACATAAGATGTACTACGGAAATATTTAACAATTTTTAAAGATCCTAACATCATTAAACAATGATACAGCTCAATAACAAAATAGTACTATTACCAAAAAAAAAAAAAAGTTATCCTCCAAAGCTTTAACAAATATAATTGAAGTTGGTAATTTGTAATTTTATGTCACTTTTATACATCTTGATTTGTTCACAGTGCAAACCATGGAACACTACTGCTTTCTGCACAAATTTAAACAAAACCACATTAATTTCACAAAATTACAGCAAATAAAAAAGGCACACTGGGAAATACAGGCAGTAGCAAAGCACAGTGAATTTCCAGTAGTTCCCCAACTGAGAGATATGAAGATCCATAACATAAAATATGGACCTTAATCATATTCTCCTGATTTTTGTGGACAAGAAACACTCCTGAACTTGAGAATTTCCTACACAACTCATTTGTCAAATTACCGTTTAATTCCTTTAAAAGGAAACAGTCTTACAGCTGAAGTTAAAGTGTAAGAAATTTAATTTTGTATGCTTTTTGAAGAATATAATTGAGCCAGAGGATAACTAAATAATTTGAAATGGCAGTATGCCAAAAGAAAACTGAGGTAGAAAAGTAAAAGTAAGTCAAAGTTACTGTAAAATACATAATGACATAATCCTGAAAAATTAAGATAGTAGAAATCATGAACAATATTCATTAGTAACTAAGGCTTTGCTGGTTTCTAAAATATGCCTACCTAATATACAATTTTCATAATTCTTTATTATATGAAAAGGGTTAATACTAAATATTTAGTATTAAATATTAAGAGTTGATACAAAATATTTCACCTAAGCACTCATATCCAGAGAGTACATGCATATTGTAATAGGAAATGAACATGAAAGTAATAGTATAGAATATGCACTATGTTACAGCCTGTGTCCTACATAACCTTTTGAATGCATGACCTTTAAGTTGCTGAAGGTTGCCTCAGAATTTGGCTCAGTTTGATTGAAACATCTGTTCCCCTTGCAGGTATACTGTAAGGACTTTTTTCTCAGTTGGATTCAGAACACAGCAAGCGAGCCCTTGTCTGTCCAACGATACAGACCCCAACCCTTGTAAATCAAGTTCTGGGAGGACAACAGCAGGTCCACATTCCGTCACCCTTTCTCAGCCAGCTAGGCCAACTGACTGCTGTGAGAACTGCTCTTATCATGTCATCAAATCAAAGCATGTTGAGAAGAGGGACTATAAGAGGCATCTGCAGAATTCCCCAAATGTAGTGACTTTGGAACATTGACAGATGCATCTGTCATTTTATACCTTCAACCAACCTGATGTCCACTGGCCCGACATGGAAAAGCTGTCCAAGATCGATTCCAATTCTTTCACATTATTTTCACATGTCTCTACTAGGAAGGCCTGGTGCTTCTTAGCCTTTTTAATTAAGAAAAGAAATTACACATAATAAGGTCACGTATTACAGGAACTACAGATATTTTTAGGGACATAATATACCACAACTAAGTATAAACAAGCTAATAATTACTCTATTCAAATCTAATATTAATAAACCCCTTTCTGTCTCAACCATCCATTTTACTTGACTTAATGTAATACTGTATAAAGTCTCATTAACAATTTATCTAGGACTTACCTAGGGTCTGGCATTATTCTAAGTATTTTATATATACAGTAATTCTTTTTATCCTCACAATGATCTTCTAGGAGAAGGGCTATTATTATTATTATTATTATTATTATTATTATTATTATTATTTTATGGGTAAGAAAACAGAGAAAAATTAAAGAACACATTAAAAGATAATACAGTTGTGTGGCAAACTGTCAGGTGGCAGTCAAAAGTAAAGGCAGTCAGACCAATTAGAAAGCACTGTAGCAGTCTACTCAGGACATAACTGTATTCGCAAAGAAAAAAATGGACATACTGAAAAGATACTTAGAAAGGAAAATGGACAAACCTTGGTAATGTTGCATTGGTTAGACTACATGCATTGAACTGGAATGGAATAAACTGAATTAGATTGGATTGGATTGAATGGGGTTAGGGGAAGTGGTCAGATAAAGGGAGTAGTGAAGACTGCTGATCCAAAGATTTCAGGCTAGAAGTACTGGGTGGATTTCAGTAGTTGAATGAAAACAATGGAGGTAAACGGTCTCGTTTTGGCTGTTTTTATTTATTTACTTGCCTTTTTGCTTTTGGCAGTGGCTATGAAACATGAATTCCATTTTATCTATTCCATTAGAAAAACCTGAAAGACGTTCTCAGAACCAGCATAATGACTGGTAAAAAAAAAAAAAAACCAGGCCCTCAATAGATATCTTTTTATGGATAAATAAAGTTGATAAATATGGGATCTGTACTTGGAGCCAGCTTAATATAAAGGTTTAGCTAAATTACTATCTCAACAATAATTCTCATCTTTCGATACAGGACTCAATCCTGACTAAATTATGAGCTGGTACATGGGATTGGAGCTGTTCCATTATACTACGTGATTTGTAATTTTTCCACTTCATTCCTCCAATTAACTCATTGTTAGGTTACCCAATAAGCATATAAGCATGGGCACACTGGTTCAGCTCAATGCCTAAATCATTCCAGTTATTTCAAAAATCCCATTCTCTGAAATCCAAGCAAACAATGAAATATTTAAATATATTTAGGATCTCTAACAGGATCCTATTTTCAGTCTTTACACAAACTATTCTAACCATACTGTTAGATACCATTTTGGTTCTACTAAACCAACAGCATGTCTAACACTCTGAGCGCCTAACCAATTATGGATTCAGGACTAGAGCGGATAACTAGACATTCTGTGGGTTCAGTAAGACATCCAATTAATACTTTTTAGTTGGTTGAGGGTCCAAAGATCCACTTAGCATTATTTATACTGGACCTCAGGAATCCTAGAACTAAAATGGTATCTAACAGTATGGTTAGAATAGCTTGTGTAAGGACTGAAAACAGGATATCCTGTTACAGATCCTAACAATAAAAAGACCCTCTTTTATTCTCCTAGAAAATCATAATAAATTACAGATAACATTGCAAAGAATGGTAATTCCAGAACACTTAATTGTGCTCAGAAGGAACCTGCATATAAACCAAGAGGCAGTCAATCTAACAAAACAAGGGGATACTGCATGGTTTAACATCAAGAAAGATATACATCAGGGTTGTATCCTTTCTCCATAATTATTCAATCTGTATGCTGAGCAAATAATCCAAGAAGCTAGACTATATAAAGAAGAATACAGCACCAAGATTGGAGGAAGACTCATCAACAATCTGCAATATGCAGATGATACAACCTTGCCTGCTGAAAGTAAAGAATACGTGAAGCACTTACTGATGAAGATTAAAAACTACAGCCTTCAGTATGAAGGTAAACAAAATCCCCAAAACTGAACCAATAAGCAATATCATGATGAATGGAGAAAAGATTGAAATTATCAAGGATTTCATTTTACTTGGATCTACAATCAACACCCATGAGAGTAGCAGTCAACAAATTACACAGCATTTTGTATTGAGTAAATCTGCTGCAAAAGACTTCTTTAAAGAGCAAAGATGTCACTTCAAAGACTAAAGTGTCACTGACTCAAGCCATAATATTTTCAATTGCCTCATATGCATGTGAAAGCTGGACAATGAAAAAGGAAGACCACAGAAGAACCGATGTATTTGAATTACAGTGTTGATGAAGAATATTGATATTAAAAAAAAAAAAAACCCACTGCCAGTGAGTTGATTCCAACTCATAGCGACCATCTTTAGGTTTCTGAGACAGTAAATCTTTATGGAAGTAGATTGCCCAGTCTTCCTTCTGCAGAGTGGCTGATGGGTTTGAACTGCCAACCTTCTGATTAGCAGTCAAATGTCTTAGGCACTACACCACCAGAGCTCCTTACTGACTACTATTCCATGAACTGCCAAAAGAATGAATACATCTGTTTTGGAAGAAGTACAGTAGGAATACTCCTTAAAAACGAGAATGGCCAGACTTCATCTCTCATACTTTGGTAATGCTGTCAGGAAGGACCATTCCTTGGAGAAGGATACTATACTTGGTAAAGTCGATGGTCAGCAAAAAAGAAAAAGATCATCAACAAGATTGACACAGTGGCTACAACAATAGGATCAATCACGGCAACAAATGTGAGGATGGTGCAGGACTGGGAAATGTTCTGTTCTCTTGTACAGAGAGTTGTTATAAGTGAAAACCAACTCAGGAGGCGGGGCAAGATGGCGGACTAGGCAGAAGGATTGCACAGACCCTCTTCAACAAAGAAAAGGGAAACCAATT